CAAAACCATCTTTGATCGCTTAGCTACCCGATGATATTAGCAAGCGATCTTCCTGCACGCAAGGCACATATGGATGGCAACAAGCTAAATTGTATCTGACTTTGTACATATATATGTGTATATTTATGTATGTATATATAATATGTGTGTGTTTCAATACATACAACATATTTATAAGTAGATTTATATACATATGCCAAATGCAATGTGCTTGTACCTCTTCTTCCTGCGAAGGCGCTTCATCCTCGCCGAGATGTTTCCAGGATTGTCTCCTGTTACAAATCTGTCCGAGCGCAGCCAGCTTCAAAACGTCTCTAGGCATTGTGCATCTGCTGGGATCAAGCGGACATAGTTCTTGTGGCACAAGACCAATTGTGTTACCTGCACCCAACCGCCGAGGCGGTGCACCAAGCTTCATCATTCCACATTTGATTAAGCAGTCCTCAAATGCTTGAGCCGCACGCCCGGCTTTCGTGTAAACCAGCGGATGGCCAAAAGCTTCTGCACTTTCGCCTGAGAAGAAATCGATCGCAGCAATTCCCATGAAGTTAAGATATTGATATTGACCTGCTTTTTTTTAAGGGGGGTAGGCCGCTAGAAGAGGTAAGAAGAGGTAGCTAGTAGAAGAGTAGCTGCATGTAAGCTACGACTTAGGACGCAGGATAGCTCACGCTTTTCACTTGGTTCCTAGAATGTTTGGAAACTTATATAACCTTAGGTGAAGAAAAAACTATTTTAATGTTTTTGATGTTTCAGTGCTCATGTATCATGCATCCACCTATTTGTCTGACCATGAATCAAAGGGTTTCAACATGTTCAACCTGTTTGCATGGCGCAAAGCTTTGGCACCCGGAGCTCGCAAAATACGTTACGCATGAGCAGTCCCCGTCTGGTCCCACTCGCCTGAAATGCCCGCCGCATGGGTCGTCTCTCTGCAGAGTGGTCCTCATCGCTGGACTCAGCATCGGAGTCCGGCAAATGAGAGCCTCGGAGAAAGCAAATCGCTATCTATAGTAGCTTCTTGCTCCTAGTAGCGATGCCCTTGTTACTAGTAGCTTCTTGCTCCTTCTAACATTGCCAGGGCCCACATAATCAGTCCAGGTTGTGCCAGTGCCCATCTGGCGAAATGATTGGAGTGCTCCACATGAGGCGTCAATTAGGCTTATGAACTGTTCACCAATTCTTAGCTTTTTGTTTCTAATGGCTTCTTGCTCCTAGTAGTACGGCCAGGAGCCCCTAGTAGCGATGCCAGGAGCCCTAGTAGCGTCCTTGCTGCGAAACACGTGTGCCACCTCAAGACCTGTAAAGGGCGAAGGTGCCTGCACCCGGACCCTTACAAAGCCAAGATGCTTGTGCCGGCGGTGATACTATGCCGCCTCTTGTGGACCTTGAATCACCGTTCAGTCTTAAACGTTTGGAGAGTTGGGTTTTGGCGTCAAATGATCTTTGTCAACCTCCAGCAAACTGGTAAGTAAGCAAACTGGTTTGAACTATCCAACAGGAAAGGAACATTCGTGATTGAACTCTGGAATGGAGCTTTAAACAGCGGGCTGTTAAGTTTAGTGCCCTCTTATTACAAACAACCGTAGTAATTCAGTGATGCGGCATCCCAACTCTTAATTCTCCCAGCCAAACACCACCAAAACATCTAAAAGCATCTGATCGCAAAACATAAAACTAAAAGGCCATAAACATGCCTCATTGTACAACTCCCAAACGGTTCCAGGCTTTGTAGGGAGGGTTGTGGGGCGGCAGAGTTCGCGATCGGTGAACGCCATAGATTTCCACTGTCTGGCATAAATATCATAAATAGGACCGCCAACGATGAGCACCAGCTACATTGCAAAAGATGCGGCACAACGGGATTGTCATTGGATTTTCATTTGGGCAGCGGAACTTGTACACTGAAGTCAACTGCACTATTCGAGCGGCCGCATCTCGTCTAGTGCTCTGGTAGCAAATCACATGCTCTCTTGTTACATGACCTCTTTTGTTCCTACGGTGAAGTAAACACGATTGATGAAAGTATCTTATTCTTTGAGGGCCCTGTCTCCTTCTCAAGTTAATGCTGTTGGACAAACGACTAGATTTGACTAGATCATGCAGTAGACTGTAGACGACTTGAGAAAGCGCAAAATGGCTCATGTCATCATCTCTCGGACACCTTCCCCCCCTTTCGCACGCTTGGACAAGCAGCTTCCGACTCCATCAGGGCGGCCAGCGACCGCGCTGGCCGCTGGTATGCCGCGTCCCGGCATGGGGGGCGCCGGCCGAGGTGACCCACGCCCTGGAGTTCCACAACTTGCTTTAAGCATGAAAAGGAGCTTGGCAATTTGATTGGCTTTGCATCACAAAAGGCAAGATCACACACATTGACGGACATTGCTGGCTTTAGGACTTGCTCTGACTCAGGATGCTGTCATGTTCTTGCTCCCTCCATGGTGACTCATCACTTGATGTGAGCCACTGTATAAATACTGGAGAAACCTCCACGGTACTCCCAAGATCTCATTGGCCCATCGTGTGTTCGACGCGGATGGCAATCAAATGCAATCAGGTTGAAGACCCAAGTCAAGCCAGTTTGGAAGAAGGAACAAGTTGAATATTATCCTGCCTGTGCTTCTATCGTGATGCTATGTTTGGACGTGCTGCAGCCAAATCATGCAAAAACATGCCTGACAAAACATCGGAATTACATAAAAAACGACCACGCCTCGGTGGAAATGGATAACAATAATCACTATCCTTCTCTCTCTTTGCTGATCTATGAAGAGCACAGAACCACAGAAACCAACACACACAAACACAATGGTGGCATCCCCCCCTGGTGACCAGTATACGGTCCCGGTATTCGCATCACCTGCCAACGACAAGATAGCTTTCAACTACATCTGCTTCACTTCCTGCATCTGGCGGGAAAAAATCGGTGGAGTCTGGCGACCCTTCAAATCGCACGAAAACTCCGTCTAGGAGTCTACAGTAGGACATTTTGAGAATGAACATGTAGACTTCATACTTCACAGTCAATGTCATGTCTAGGCTCCCTAATTTCGTGGTTGAAGACAATATCAGATTCTACTTCTACGACCAAATCTCCAGGCCAGGCACATTGCTGGGGGAGAAGCGAACGGCGGTCACGAAGGAGGCATGTCCCGCGAAGGCCTGGTGTTTCACGTACGCCATGGAATCTGTGTTTAGGATGATAATCATTAACTTGAGGCTGAGGGCTGGTGGTGAAGCGGGTGACAGTCGGCCCTATGCCAGCGGAAATACACACGTCCCAGAAACGTCCGAGGAGTTGAACCCCAGCGGGGTGGGGCCCCACCAAAATATGAAGTTTTTCACGCGATGCGGCACTCTCGAGGATTCCAGCCCCTCACTTGCTAAAGCAAGAACACTCCAGCTAGCTGGTGCTAGCTTTCGTGATGCAAACACAGAATACAACTGTTCATACGCTCATGGACCCACATACCGAACGGTCGAGTCTCAAATCCCTTGGTTTTGAGAGACCAATGGCTGCTTGGAGCATCTGGGTAGTTTTGAATGTTTGACAACACTGGGTTTCATTAGGAGATGGTGTCGTTTCCTCCTTTTGGCGGTTGAGTTGAGTGTGATCGAGTGTTTATCTATTGTTCAGATCCGAATCCATGAAAGTCTTCGAGTTCCAAGTGCCGTTCAAAACATGACCCTCAAATTCAAACCATCCCAAGATGACCCAAGGAGGATGGCCCTGTCATAGGGCCAGGGCCACATATTTTGCATGAATGTCCAAGGACGAGGGCCCCTTCCCGGAAAGAACGACACCGCTGATCATATCATATCTGATATCTCTAGAGAGGGAGGCTCAAGTACAAAAACAGTCACGTCATCCAATACTAGTAGCAAGAAGCTACCAGGAACAATGTTCGCTACTAGGAACAAGTGCATCGCTTCTAGTAACAAGTGCCTTACTAGTAGTAACAAGAAATACAGGATTCTGCGCAGATCACGATAGGCACACCCGGGAGTGAATGGACGTTTCACGCGGGGCTTCACAGGCCCAACGGTTTCCACGGGCCCAACGGGCTCTTCGGGCCGGGGTCAAGGGAGTTCGGCTTTAGTAGCTTTAGCTCTATGGTTCTCTGTCTATGGTTCTCTTTATCAGATACGTCATGAGTCATAAGTCATGAGTCATAAGTTATACAAAACAGCGTGTCGCACGGGAGGTTGTACAGTTTCTCCGCGGTTCTGCTTTGTCTCTGTCTACAGCAAATACACTGGTGTATCAGTCAAAGCTTCGCGCAGTTGTTCTTCTTCTGTCCACTACTTGCTTGCGCCGTGCAAACCATCCTCTTGTTTCACGTTGGCGCCAACCTTGCGGATGCAGTATTGAAGCCGTGACTGCAGGGCCTTTCTTGAACAAAGGGCCGCTGCAAGCTGTGCATGTTTCTGCCGGGCTGGCTACTATGGCAGCAGTGGTGCTATGACTGACAAAATGTTCCTTGCAACGGCTTGACAATACTTTCAACATTTTGTCATGGCTGCTTTGCGGCCAGCAACGCAGCAAGGCCGTTTAAAGGACACCTCAACGATGCGCATGCAGCTTACGTACACGTTAAACGGATGATTGTGTTCCCTTGAGGCAAGGGTCTGCACGGGACACCATTCCGTCTATCTGCTGTTACTCCGCTGTCATATTGCCACCGCCCAATGGGCGTGGACGACAAGAAGGTAGTCTAACACCAACGCCTCCACACCACGGGCTCCCTCCACCCACGGGCTCCAGGGCCCGCCGTGGAAAAGCTTGGAGCGCGGACCCGGATACCACTATAAGGCTATCAGCAGGTTCTGTAATCACTACTTCCACTTCCACCTATGATATCTTGTTTGAGCACTAACTGCTAATCATTCGCTCAGCTTCAAGTTGCATTACTGCCACCAGTGTCCCAGACTTGACACGGGAGTTTGAGACTTGCAGAATCAACCAGGACCAGCACCCAAAGCTTGAAGCGTTCTGTTTTCTCTGCTCGAGCTCTTTCAGGCTTCTTGGCTCTCGGCGATGGCCTCCGAGCGCAAAGAGATTATGCAAAGCAGGCCAAACAAGCACAGTCGGATCTGCTGGTATTATAGTCCACATAATTGAAACGAGAAATCCACAGAACGTGCCATGAACAGAACGCGCCACGCCCCCTTGCCTGAAGAGTGCTTCTGCTTCCTGCTTCCAGAGCAGCGTAGTGACAGCAAGCCAAGAATGCCATAATGATGAAGACGTAGAAGGACCATGTATAGCTTCCAGAGAGATCACGGAGCTTGCCTGCAAGCGCGACAGCTTCAAATTGCAGGCACAGCACGGGCCTTCAAACAGTCTGTCGATTCACCTCTCATCTTCACTTCCAACTCACAACACAGCTCACTTCCTGTTTTTTTGCACATCCAACCCTGGAAATCGCAGAACCCACCGCCTGTGACCAAGGTACCCAGGAAGCCGCCAATGACCTCCATCAAGATTGGAGATGATTGGAGGGTCCAGTTGAGACATGTCATGACACGTTTCGCGAGCGTTTCCTTGTCGATTTTGTGGTTTCAATACATGCAGCACATTGCAGCTGCTGCAGTAACAGAAAGGTGTCCTAACCCGCGCGAAGACCAATACCAAACCAGGATGGGCAAAAGGATGCAAACGGACTTGAATTGCAGAACAACACAGCATCTAGAATCTATACACACATTGAGAACATAAGCTAATGGCCTGTGACTTGAAAAACACAGCGAACAGCAGAGCAGTTGCTTCCTTCCACACCTGGAAGAGCATCAAAAAACCCTGCAGCTTCCCAAAATCTGCCATCCGGCCCAGCAACTTGGCCTAAGAGATTGTGTCGTCAAAGTCGACCGCTTGGTGGATCAAAGGATTGCCCTTTTACCACCTGACCACCAGTCCCTAATTAGTGCACAACAAACCCAAATGAGCAACTTTACCAGGTCGAACCTTGGTAGACAAATCGCTTTTGAAGGCTCTTTAAAATGATCTCATATTCAAAAAACCTTGTAAAGTGCTCAGGAGGAAGGGCCAACCATCACCGATCTCTTTCCCCACTTCATGCAAGAATATCAGACATTCAATGGCTTTCGCATCTTCATTTATATATGTATATCATCCTTATCTTCATCTTCTGCTCTTCCATCCTGTCACCAGGCGACTGGCTTGGCTGAAAGCAAGGAGTAGGTGCCCCCAAAGCCCATGCCATAGACCATCGCGAAAGCCAGAAGTTGCGTGTGGCTCCTGGTGAGGCTTCCCCCTGCCTGAGAGAAATCCAAGGGCAGCAACGTTCCTCGGAGCAAGCCGCGTTCGAGGGATGAAGAAATGCTTAAAGGATCGAAAGCCGGGTGCCTTGGGTGCCTTGGTCTCTGTATTTTTGTTGGAGATACGGCTTAAGGCTTTTTCTTGGTTTCCATCTTTCAACTTCCTTCATCGCAAGGGTGGTGGTACGGTGTAACAGTGTAACCGTATGCTAAGCCCAGTCTTGATGGAAGAACCTGGGGTCTCCAAACTTGGTCGTATTTCAACACTCTTCAGCCTATCCCTTGGCTGAACGTCGTTGAGTGTTGCGTCCTCGCACACTTGGACTGAGTCCATTCCAGATCTCTCCGTATACTCCCGAGTATGTAAAATGAAACTAAAGACTCAGACATCCGTTTTCTTCCCCAAACCGCTTGCGAACATGAAACACATGCCAACACATGCCATTAAGCCTACCATTTCAGCCCAAGCTCCGAGGAAAAGCAGGAAGCAACTCAACATCCCAGCGATGCCCTGGCGTCAACCAGGGATGTCGATGTCCAGGACATCATGTGAATGACTTACAGTCGGAGTCTGGCACTTAAAGGTTTTCTGTTGTTCAAGGTCCTACACTCTGGCAAAAATGTTGCATATAAACTCTGCCGAATCTTTGGTGCTCCCCTCTCTCCTCCTCACCAACATGTCAGACGTGGGGATCGCTGAACATATTGTGTTGCTCAAGCTGTTCTTAAACTTTATCAACTCTGAGCCTGAAACTTACTGTCCATGGCAGCACCCATGAAAAGCTTGCCAGCAATGGAGGTGACAAACACAATGGAAGAGTACATAGCAGACACTTGCAAATCCATGTGCACGTCCATCTTCAAGCACAAGGTCAAGGTGTTGATTAGTGCAATGATGATGTACAGCTGATAGAGCCTCAGTCGAAGCACAAAGAAGGTAGTTCTGTATATAATTGTATATATATATAGTTATAGCCGACATATCGAGTGCAAGGACACTAGAAAAGACGAACTGTTCATGCAAAATGTTGTCACAAACCGCAAGTCATCCTTTAAGAATGGAACTTCTACATGTCACACTCCACAAAGGAACCACCCAGGACATCCCAAGACACTCAGATACATGTGTGGAGGTGACCGTCAGCTACATTCTCTCCAAGCTCAAAGAAACCACACAAACAGCTCTGTTACACTTACACATCACTCATCCTGTAGTACATGACATGTCCTTCCTTTCAATTACTTCACGCCCAACCAACCAATTGACTTAGAAATAGCCTGACCGAGATGAAATGCACGGCCTGACCTTGGGAAACGTCCAAGCGACGACATGAAGGCCAAGTGCCACACGGCTCCAAGCCGAAGACTTCGCCAGAAGTCCAGCCGTCTCGCGGTCCCCCTCCCGGCAGTCGAGTCCTCGGAACGTTTTTCGCGGAGAGCAGAGTCCCCAACCGAGGGGAGTGATCTTCCAAGAGGATACGGAGGGCCCGGAGGGCGTCAGAATGATGCATTTAGCAGTAGTGCCTTTCACCAAGCACAAGCTCCCAACACGATCTGCGAGATTGATACCAACTACATCCACTTCAGAAACAAAACACTTAGTCTAGGAAGGAAGTGCCGATTCAACTTCCCATGCACCATGTCCAAGGGGAAGTTCAAGGGTTCGGGATTCGATGGGATTCAGCTGGTGACGGGCCAGTCGGTGCGACAGGAATGAAACGAATTCGGTGGGTGAGTGGACCGAAGGTGCCTGCAGTTCGATCCAACGTTTTTGTTACGGTGGTTTCAGAGTAGATGGCACTGGCACCCAAAGATGTCTTTTATATGGGGATCCTCATAAACCACCTTTTGGGGAGTGCGCCATCTACTCTGAAACCACTGTACATTTTGTTACCTTCAGGATGAATGAGGACTCAAGGGTAATCACTGCACCTCCTCGAAATGTTCTCGGCGTAGTATATGCCAATTTACGTCATTTCAGTCATAAAGCCAATGGAGAGCTGTCAGGTTGTTCTGAGACCTCAAACCGAGTTTCTAGCAACAACCTAGTGGCAAGGGGCAAAGAGAGGTACCATAACCGTGACTGGTAAACCAATCCCAGGACCTAGCACCTGTGCCAGGTCTTAGTAAGTCTGCAAGCCGGGTCTAAATCGTGTTCAGGCAACTGTATCTTCATCCTCCACTGAGGAAAACGGACGATCAGTGGGCCGTTGCGCCAAAGGCCCGTCGTGAAGAACGCCAAAACCTGGCATTTTGGGAAGGTCGGGGATTTAAGAATATATTTACCATTATAGTACTATATATATAATATTGCCTGGTGTTTATTGCTTCACAGCACTACGCTCACAGCTGACAAGGTGTAAAGGACACAGTCGATTGGTTAATAATTAGTGACTCATTTGTTAACCAAAGCAACAAAATCCTTGATCCAATTCAGAACTTGCAAGCAACTGTAAGCACACATTACAGTAAGACAACAGATTGACCTCAGGCCTGAGAGCATTTGCCGGCTACGTTTAAATGCGCGTTCTTTTTGAACAATCCAACAGGGGATTAGACGACTACCTCAGTACCTCCCTGAGAGCCCGCCCAGCCATCTGAGATACTAGACGTAATCTGAGGCATTTTGCAGCTGCGGACATCCTTCCTTTAAACAAAGTGTGAGTTTGCGGGTATTCCAAGCCGCTTGCTTGACTCAAGCCCCCCCCAGAAGCCTCCGGAAATACACTGACATAGAAACCAGAAACAGCCACGGACCTACCAATCCAAAAGGTTTCCAAGAAAGTTCCAACCCAAGATTCCAGGATTCTGGGGCAGTAGGAGGCTCTATGATGCTCTACGTAGTAGAATCATGTACAATCCTCCATGGTTTCCTATGGTTTCCTGGCATCGATTCAACTGGCACCGAAGGCCGTGCGGAGGAGGGTCTACAATGAAACCCGTACGCTGCTCCGATCGGTGAAAACCTGGACTCCAACAACCTGGGGTGCACAGGGAGGGTTCTGTGTATGCTCCGTTTGGGATCTCCTCTCCATGTTCTCAGCCGGGTGATGCTTCCTTCCATACTCAAGGTCATGTATCACTTAAAGCAGTGGAAGGTTCGACAGAGCTGCATCCAGTCCAAGGAACAGATCGGCACCACAATCAGCGCCGTCAAAATGGGACACATCAAGGAGGCTTGCCTCCCAGTGGTGTCACAATAAGGTTGGATCAAACCGGCAACCAGCTATTCCAAAAGGTGACGATAGGCCTTTGGTGGTGGTGGTGGTGGTGGTGGTGGCGGTGGTGCATGTTCTGGTATTGTCAATGGCAAAACACCCTAAGAATTGAATGCATCGAATGATTCTTACCAATTCATGTTTCGCCTCCAGCCGTAATGCGCAGTAAAATATGCCACGATGGGAGGAAAGCACATGCCAGAAAAGCTGAAAGCGGTCACGAGAATGCTGATCGCTAAAGCCGGTTGGATCTCAAACCATGTCCTCAGTCCACCCAGAGTCCCTTGTGCCCGCGCTATCGGATAGCGAGCAGAAATGGTCAATGAGTCAATGGTATCAAACTTTCCAAAGGAACTTGTGGCCTCTCTGTCTGTATGTCCATCTGCCTGTTTTAAAGGCCTTCAAACAATACACTCAATAAAACTAGTTTGGCTAGGAACACTCAAATTGTCCACAGTGACATCATATATCACAGCTGCCTTGAAGGAGATGCGTGACAAGAAACCAGCTTTGTGACCATGCTGTTTGAATGCCCCTCTAGTGATGATCCTGACATGCCGACCGTGTGTGTACCAATGCTGCTCTTCCCGGGCGCTTCAGCAATTAGCCGAAGGGATGAACAATAAGGCACTTGTTACCAGAAGCGATGCACTTGTTACTAGAAGCGATGCACTTGCTCCTAGTCAATGAACAATTAGCCGAAACGAAGGGATGAACGCCTCCGTCCAAATGACCAAGCATCGTCGCGAAAACGATGATGGGACCCACCCCGATCAAATCGTAGGCTGAGCCGTATAGGCCATGCAAGCAGGCGAGGCACCAAAGGCTTGGAGCCAAAGGGTATAGAACTGAAGAGATCCTCAAACGCCAGGACTGATAGCAACATATTATGACGCGCATATGACGCCATGAATGACCAGGACACAGTGGCGGCATCTAGTGTCGCAAATGTTTGGGCATCCTCTTTTCAGGGCACTCTGGAAGTAGTATGAAGTAGTATCCCTGATAGACATGAGTCCTATGAAGGCAACATTTACTGCCAAACACGAGGCTGCAGCCCCCCCAATCCCTACGGCCCTATGGCGCATCCGAACCGAAGCCACTCTGGTCGCCTTCGCCAAGGCGCAAAATGACCACAGCTCCGGCTCTCAGGCATGTTCGACAGCCGTAGCGGTACAAGGCATATCCTCCGGGCATGGTGAGCAGTCCCTTACAAAGCTGGAAGATCGCCCCGAGCCAAGCAATCTCGTAGGCATCCACGCCAAACCTCACGAAGTTCAGACGTGCAACTCAGGACAAAAACAGCTATGTTTGGGGTACAAGAATCGCAATGTCTGGAACCCCCTGAGGGAACGCCTGAGCTCGAACCCTGAACTTTGAACCCCCTTTCAATGACACCTGACGATACCCGCAATGCCCTTGTCCCAGTTTGCTCAAGGCCCTGAGTTGAGCGGTATGCAGTTAAGTTTGCAGTATGCATCGATCAGTATGTTGCATTTGTTCTATGATTCTATGCTAAATCAAATCAAGGGGGCTACGCCAGCTCAATGGCAGGCTACGCGTTGGGACAGTGCGTTGCAAATAGAAGGCTGCTGGGAACAAACCAATGTTCAACATGTTGGGTCAACGGGGGGGTTAGCCCCGCCCGTAACATGTGGTCTGTTTTTTTCCGGTTTGGGGGGGGGGGGGGGGGGTGGGGTCAGTTTCATCCTGGTTACGACTCGCGTACATCGTCTACGTACTTCATTGGTCCACCCGGTTCTTCTAGGTTCGCTCGGTCACGATTCGTTCGCTGGACGACCCGCTTGTCTCGGCTTACAGGACATGACGGGTTCTACTTTGGAGGTTTGTTTGTGTTTGTCGTTGGTTCTGTTGTTGCGGTTGGTCGGTTTGAGGTGCCCTTCCCCCAATGAGCATTTGAAGGTTTTCTTTACGACCGACCCCTTTCTTTTGGACGCTCACATAGACGTTTGTACCCGTGCCTCAGATCCAACTATCTCTTTTGTGCAGGAGGTTGCATTGTTAAACTGTCGTTCTCGGTTACGGTTTGACCGTCTCCTCGCTTTTCGTTTGGTTTTGTTTGATGTTTGGACTTCTCACTTTCATCGACACCATATGTCTTTTACACCTGTCATGTGGAGTGCATTATGGGTTCTTTCCAGGCGTTTGTTGCAAAATAGAGGTGTTCAACTAAACAGACATGTCAATGTCCAGCATTCCAGTACTAGACAGCCCCCCATGGACACGCCACGTGTGACTCCCGCGATGGACACGTGGGATCCGGATCCTCGCGAGCGTACGCCCCGGCGGACGAGACAGACGACCACGCCCGTTCTGGACTCACCCGAACTCGCGTCCAAGCGACGTGAGTTGCAACCTTTGATAGATCTGACGGAGTCTCCGCCACGATCTATGTCGGCTGCGCAGACGCCGATGAAAGAGGAAGCTTTCTCCGAATTATTCGTTACGTTTTGGCAGACATGTGAACATATAAGCATTTCTCTTCTTTTTTCGGAAACCTCGTTCTTGTAAAAAACACATGAGGAAGATGATTCGGAGTCTTTGTCACCGCCGAATGAATGGGACAGCCCGCCTCACAGACAGGCCAAGATTCAGTATTGGACCAAGCATAGCACACCACCCCTGGCAGAGCAATCGCAGAGAGTCAATAGCGGGGCCGCTGGCTCTTCTCTCGAGTCTTCTTGGTATTATGCTTTTGTTGGTATTATGCTTAGTTTTTTGTTTTGTCGCTTGTCGTGACCTTTTTGGAGATTCGAACATATCCGGACCGAGTGACCATGGCCTTTTTGAATCTCAGGACACCAATGCCGCTTGCACTGGGGATGCACAAGGGTCTGCTGAAGACAGACCATGGCCGCGTACCAAGTGGGGACGCTGTCCACTTTGTGAGTACTCCTTGAAACCTCGTTTGTACCAGAGTGGACCATACCGTGGATCCATTCGACTTTTGCGTTCCCGGTTTTGGATACTTGAGGATGGCCGCAGACAGTGTTGGAACTCCATACCGGTTCCTGCACTCATGTGGTCTAAATTACCTCGTTTTCTTCGACAGAAGTACCATGAGCTACCAGCCTCACTGCTGCGCAATGCGCAAGGACCTTGAAGTGGAGACTGCATGAGCAGACATCGCTGCAAAAATGTTGAAAGGGCGCTCAATCCGGAACGCGATTTCACTTGTTGTTGAACATTCCTGCGGAAAGCATATGCATATCTATATATATATAGAAATACATGCTCTCTGTCTAAAAAAGATATATATATATATATAGAGTGGTTTCCTATATGTATATGTATATTCCTCTATCTCCTGTCTCTGAGTATGTATATATTTCCTCTCTCCTGACAACAGACGTCCTTGACTCAGTTTTTTGGTGGACATTGAAAATCTGTTCGATTGCCAGACTGTGCCTGAGAGACGAATGTATTTTGGCCTTGGTTCGAGCTCCGTTTAATGTAGCTTCCTTGGCTCTACATTTCTGAGCCATGAAAGGCAACTTGTCTGACGACAGAGAAAGATATGAATCTGGGAGGCCCAAGCCTACTTCCAGAACTGTGGCCACGGCCAAAGGCACAAACCGAAAGCACTGGAAGTTAGGCATCAGATATGCCACTCGGAAACTCCAATCAAGAGGGAAGCTGCGCACTTTAAGACAAGTCGATTTTCCGACTGTTCTGTCTTGGCCGGAGAAGAAATGCTTTTCCATTCTAAAGAAGGCTGGTGTGTTCGGAGATCGGCGCAACAAACGTTGTTGGGTGTGCAAAGCTGCAATGGTTCCAGAGTCGCAGACACAAGCTTACAGATGTGTCAACCGACAATGTTCGGGCCAGAGACCACGTCTTTACTCCTGGCAATTCTCCTTCACTCCTTTTGAAGGACGTCTCAGAGGAGGTCATCCCAAGGACTGCAAAGCCTTTGTCTGTGCTGCGTACTTGTGTTCCTTGAAGTGCCCTCAGGATTCATCATGGCATGTGCTGGGTCGCTCACAAGACTACACTGATTTGACTCTTCGACAGCTACGTGTGTGCGCTGCCTTTGCACAACTGCAGGAGAGTAAAGCCATGCGCTTGGACCCTGGGATGGTGGACATCGACGGTACGAGAACTTTTGGCAAGTCGAAGACTTTTGACAAGAGGACTTTGACCGCCAAAGCCAAGTCCCAATTGCGCAAGAAGCCATCAACGCGATCTGGAAAGCCTGCTTCGAAGAAACCTGCCTCCATGATCCACGCAGGCCGCTTCTTGTTGCTGAAGCATAGAACAAGTGGTCAGCAAGCAGTTCTGCCGTTGCCAGACCGGAAGACCCAGAAACACGCACCGGGGCCGCCTGAGAGCAAGGATGAAGTGTTGCCACTCTTGAAGACGAAACTCTGCAGCACCAAACACATCGTGGGCAGTGACGCTTCGAAGGGCCTTCAAGGTGCTATGAAGGAGATGAACTTGACAGCTGCAACGGCGCGTCGCTCCCACCCTGAGTCTGCAGATCAACTAAATTTAGTTTGCCAAAAATTTACTTAATTTCAACTAGTAAAGTAAAAAATAAGCAAAAAAGCAAAGTATTTTTTACCATAGTAAATTTTTAGTAAGACAAGTAATTTAAATTAGTAAGACAAGGAATTTAAATTAGTAAGACAAGGAATTTAAATTAGTAAGACAAATAATTCTTTTTAAGTAATTGAAGCATGTGTTGTCATATGTTGTTTTTTGCGGGGTTTCTGTTATTTCTGCGCTGTTTTGTTTTTGTTGTTTTGTTGTTTTTGTTGTTTTGTTGTGGTTGTTGGCTGTGTTTAAGTTTTTGCAAGAATGATTTCTCCAAATTTGTTCACTTGACTCATGTCACATGTCGCATGTTCTTGAAAAACGCCTTGTCTGCGTTCATGATCAACCTCCCCCTGTCTATCAAACAGGCTGTTGACAATCAGGGTTTGCTTGTCTCTTTTGCCATGTTTGAACTTCTTTGTACCCCCCCACCCCCTTGCAATCCACTCTGGGATCTCACCGGCAGCAAACATCTGCGTGAACTTCTGTTGCTTGACTCGGTCTCTGGTCTCTGCACTCTTGCTCTTCTCTGGGTCTACTTCTGGGTCCTCCTCCTTCTCATTCTCTTCTTATGCTTCCTCCTCTTTGTCCTTCTCCTCAGGCACAGGCACAATGCCCACCTTCCAGCTTTGCCAGGTTTGTTCTTGTCCTGAAGGTCGCTTGAAGGGTTTTGGCACTGATTTGGGTGGCTTGGGCTTGGACACAGTTGACTTCTTGATCTTTGCCTTTTCCTTGGGCGCAGTCTTGGGAGCAGCTTTTGCCTTTGTTGATGATTTCTTCAGGACTGAACCAGGAGTGGCAGAAGGCTTCTCACTATCTTTCTCTGACTTTGCTGGTGTTTGGGCCACCATAGGTTCATTTGGCATTCCATCAGCCATGAGGGCAGTGGATCACTCACAATACATTACAAACTCTCAAAACAAAAAGCCGCAGAAAGTTGTAGGAAGATTGAAGATGGCGCTCAATGTACTGTTCACAAGAACTGCCCACCAGCTAATGACAGAAGTTACTGAAGAACAAGCCACAAGAAATTACACATCTCCAAAACAAGAACATCTGACAAGTAAATGACACTCAAGACCTGTTCACAAGCAAATGCGCATCTTCACAACAAGAACTGCTCACAAGTAAATGAAATTATTCATAGGAATTCTATTATTGGAGAACTGCTCTCAAGTAAATGTTGAACAGTTATGTAAAAATTTGCTCAAGAGTACTGTTACATGCCACTGCATTCGTAGGTAAAATGTGCAAAAAGAACTTCAACAACTATATACAGTTTGTATGCAGTTTATATGTAGTTTATATGCAGTTTACATGCAGTATTGAAAACTACATGTAGTTTTGATAAAACTACATGTAGTTTTGATAAAACTACATGTAGTTTTCAAAACTGCATAAACTACATACAAACTGCGTACAAACTGCATAAAAAGTACATAGAAAAATGAGCAGAAAATCAACAAACGCACATCAAAAGTATACACACATATTCAACTTTGTTATCTCCATGTTATATTCTGGACATGCTGATGCTGCACTTGTGAGTTCATTAGACTCTGGATACATTTACTTGTGAAGCTGTTTTTACTTGTGAACCACCTTCTGTATTTCCTTGCAGTCAAATTGCACAATGGCTTTGGGCGCTGGACTGTGTACGACTTTTTTTGGCATTCGTATATGTTTTCGGAAAGCTATGCTCACTTTACTTGAGACATCATTTACTGTGTTGTGGGTGCCACTTGCTCAAGGCACTGTTGTGAGGTTTGTGGATTGCACTTTTCATAAGCCCACTATTGTCACTGTTGTGTACACTCTTGTGTCAATATTGCCATGTACTTGTGAGCCATTTGCTTTGTGAAAAGAACTACTTGTGGCCAGGTCTTGTGCCAATATTGCATCTTACTTTTGGACAGTTCTTCTGTCCAGATTGTAGTTTACCTGTGAGCGTTGATGGTCATCTACTTGTGAAACAGCTCAACTGCCAAGACTGCCACTTAGACTTACTCGTGACCAGGTGTTTTCGCAAGATTGTCATTTACTTGTGAACAGCTCAAATGCAAAGACTGCAATTTACTTGTGAACAGTTCTTGTCAAGATGACCATTTACATGTATCATTTTCTCGCCTCAAGATAGCAACCTCGATAACCCCACAAGAGCTCTCTCAAGTAAAAAGAGCTGTACCTGATCTCCAGTAAATTTTTCGCAACGCTTCTCAAGTAACTTGGTGAAAGTACACCAATAAAAATATTCGAGTTTTCTCAACTAAACACAGCAACACCAAGTGCTCCCACACCTTTCCTCAAGTAGATCAAACAACACTTCTCAAGTATATCGCCCCTGGCTTCTCTCAAGGCAGACGAGTAAATTGGTTGTGACAAGCTCCTCTCTCAAGTAAACTGACTTCTCAATTTTTTTAAATATATACTGCAACACTTCTCAAGTAATTTGAGGCGACGGTGACGGAAACCATTCTTGTCTGTTACCTGTGAAAACCAACTTCATGTGTAACTTCCAAGCCAATGTTTTGTGTGTTTCTGTGGTGTTTTTGTGTTGACTGTTGCGGTTGTTTCTATGTTGTTTCTATGCTGCTTCTATGCTGCTTCTATGTTGTTTATATGTTGTTTCTATGCTGTTTCTATGTTGTTTA